TTTGTGGCATACTTTACCAAAAGGCTTTTGCATAATTATAAAACACGATTACACATTGTTTAGCATTAGTTTAATTTATTCAGACATCATTCTGAGAAGAAATATCGCATTCATTGTCCCAGTCACTTTGATGAAATCGAATTGTTCTTGGTTTATTTGCGGTCTGATTCTACTGCGCACTCTATTTATCAGAATTCCGATTATAAATTTTATTAAGCTGATTATCCAATAGAGGTCACATTCATTAACACGTAGCTTAGTCGGTCGGCAGTGCTATGGAAATCGATCTAGTCAGGGCTTCCAGTGTATCACCACTGTTGTATATATCAATGAAGTTAAATAATTCATAATAAATATTGATCAAGAAGGAACTTTGCAAGAAAATTGTTGCTTGCTTATTTTATTCATATTACGGAATGACTTTGAGCATATCTTAACTCATTATCTATCAATCGCAGTGATTTCATGTTTATCTATCTATCTATCTATCTATCTATCTATCTATCTATCTATCTATCTATATATATATATATATATATATATATATATATGTATATATATAGCTGGGATTTCATGTTTATATTTATATCTATCTCTGGCAGAGATTTCATGTCTTTCTGTCTATCTATTTATGTATATTTCTCGATCGATTTATTTATCTATCGCAATGATTTCATGTTTATCTATTTATGCCTGTCTACATCAGTCTATCTATTTATGCATATCTATCTATCTAGCTATCTATCGCAGTGATTTCATATCTATCTATCTATCTACCTATCTACCTATATATATATATATATATATATAGCTGTGATTTCATCTTTATATTTAAAGCTATGGCAGAGATTTCATGTCTGTCTGTCTATTTATGTATATCTGTCGATCGATCTATTTATCTATCGCAGTGATTTCATGTGTATCTATTTATACCTATCTATCAACTTATCCATCTATATATCTGTCTATAGACCTATGTAGCTATCGCAATGGTTTCATGTCTATGCTTATCTATTTATTTATGTATATCTATCTATCGCAGTGATTTCATGTTAATCTATTTATGTCTATCTATTTATGCATATCTATCTATCTATCTATCTATCTATCTATCTATCTATCTATCTATCCGTAGATGTTTACTAACTTAATATTCTGGTAAATCTGATCTTTTAGAAAGTAAGACTTATTTTGACTTATTCGATGTCTTTTTGAATTATTTTCTTCAGAACTGTTGATGCTATTATAGACACGTTTTTAGGCCATTATGTACTGGCAATCTTCAGGCGTACGTTTAATGGTATGATAGTGGATACTTTTGTATGTGCGAATGGTTTAACAGTTATCTGCTTGGGAACTGAAAACAGTTGAAATTCTGGTCGAGTCTCTGGCACCCACTCAGCGTTCATACCATCAGAAAAAAAAATGAAATCCATCTTCATCCAATGGGTAAAGTAGCAGCAACATACTGAGACTTGGTTGCCAACCAGTCTAGTACAATAAAAATGAATTGAAATCCGGTCTGAAACTAGATTAATATAATGACCTATTACATAAACTGAACCCAGCTAACAAAATGATATTGAATCTGTTGTAAGCTTTCTACAAACATACCTTTGGAAAAACACTATTTTGTAGACATCCCAAAACATGCCCGTTAATTAATATGAAACATTAGATTAACAGAAAATGGAAAATAAATTCTAAAGAGGTATCGGAATATACATTCATTATCTAAATGATTCTTCATTAAAACAAGAAAACATAACTTCAATACATATTGTTAAATAAAGGAAAATATTCTGATGTTATAATTGACCTGGGATAAATTTTCAACTACAGTTATTTTCAACATTATCATAACTTTGTGACAAATATGTGGTTTAGGGATCAATTTTAGGGTCAAATTTATAAATGTATAGCTGATTGCAACGTTATAGTACTGTCACCACCTTGTCACATGACACTCAACTAAAATCCTAATCAAAATAGTAACTGGGAAGTCACAGACATTAGAATTTCATTAGATTTTGAACATAATCTCTTTTATTGTTAATGCAAATAATTCATTATTGAACATTAATCACATTCGATCGGAAGTTATAGTGAAAATTTCTGATTAGTCTTCAACTAAATACGTATCAGATTATGGATTCTTGATACACGTGTGTATATCAAAGAGAGAGAGTTATGAAATGAGTTTCAATAAGATCAGAAGCGTAGAGTTAATGAATCTTTTAATATATTTTCAGATTGCAGCGTACTATTCTTACTAGTTATCTTACTTGCAATTATATTCTTTGAACTTCAGCAAATAATTCCACGCTTAGGAAATAGAAGCGAATGAGAAGCAACTGAAAAGAAGCTTTTAAATATGTATATTACATTTCGTTTACTTTTTATTTCTAGACCCTCACAACCATCCACTCTTTCTCAAACACACATACACAAGATATATATATATATATATATATATATATATATATATATATAGAGAGAGAGAGAGAGAGGTTACGTTATTCATAGTGGCGCCACTTGCTGGTACCAGTTGGATATATAAAAAAATCGAATAAAGATTTATAAACCAATCTTATTTTTGCCTCAAAGAAAATTGGCGCCACAGAATAATTCTACTACAATTTAACCGACCCAGATGAACTGGACTGAGATTATAAAGATGTTTCCCCTAACTTTATTTTTACACACACACACACACACACACACACACACATATATATATATATATATATATATATATATATATATATATATATATATATATAGATTCATATTATAAATCATAATAGATAATACCCATGCAGTGAAACTTATGTAATGAAAATATACTAACAATGGCACTCTTTTAATAACGGATTCACAAACCCACAAGCACCAAACAACGCAAAACGAAAACCGGCAAGAATTATTAACTTACAATACGATAACGACGTTACCATATAAACAGTAGAAAATCCCTACAATTATTAAGAGACTTCACGATAAAGGCAAACATGTCAGGCTCAATGAAAAACAAAAAAAATAAATAAAAAAGGGCTAAACACAAACTTAAGCATAAAGACCCAATGCTTGTAAAATACCTGATGTGACACGCACCAACATACTCAATATTCGAAAGATAAACAAATACAAATTATAATTACAGATATACCTTATTCAAAATAGATTATTAGGTTATGAAAGAAACAATGGATACAGAGGATCTTTTCTTGTTTTTCAAAGAATCTGGCATAAGTGAAAAATGCTGGTCACATGCATCTGTTCACACACAGAGACACGCAATAAATAAATAAATTAATATATAAACAAATATTCTTTTTATACGTTATTTTTATAGATACAAATTATTTAAGTAATTCTCTGTTTTTAATTAAACAATATTAAATATATTTACCAGCCTGAATGTACGAGAAATTACTTAGAAAACATGCGTTCTCTAACAGAAATCTACGAAACTTGTCGAATATTTAGGCCGGTAAATAAATTTAAAACTGTTTAATTAAAAAATAATAACAGAGCGTGTACTTAAATTGTATCTATAAAAACGACTAAACAGAAAATACATTTAAAAATTGTCGGACTGAATAAATTACATGACACACACACACACACACACATATATATATATATATATATATATATATATATATATTCGCTGTATTAGAGCTCATCATTCTCACTAGACATCCGATTGCTTCAAGCAGGGATCGAAACCCGGCCGATTTGTCATGTCAGAGATTCTACCCACCAAGTTATAGATGAACGGCAGAACGTAAGGGGAATTTTAAACGTCTTTTTTATGCGAAAGGCGTCAGTAGCTAGGAGAGCTCGATTCGAGTAAAGAGCATTGCATTAGCAGCAGAAGCCACTGTTTGTAAAATTATCTATATATATATATATATATATATATATATATATATATATATATACACGTTTCATTAAATAATATAGACAAGCGTTGTCTATTTATTTTATGTAAATTTTGTTAGTAACATCTGATAAGTTTGATAACATTATCATTAAACGAAGAAAGAAATTCACAATATTGATCCATATTTTTTAATATGATCTAAGCTTTCGGCTTACTTAAGCCATTATCAAAGATGTAAATTACAAACATATTAAACAATATACGGACACGACATGTCATTGTATACATAGATAATCTCTAAGCAACGATAAACACGCGCATATAAGACGCTAGAAGCGAAAATCGCACCGCATCTCATGACGTCACACATGACCACACGAGAGTGAATTGGAGAATGAAGTAAGGAAAGCCGTTGGTATAAACCAATGGCTTCTGTTAACAATTATAGACATTTTGCAGGAGAAACGGTCGTTTGACATATAAAAGGAAATTGCAAAAGTGACTTACTGAAATTGAGTTATGTTCCGATTGTCTAATTGTAGACCTTTTACCCTATATTTCTCTTCCAAATGACTAAAGATATTTGTCAACGTAACATAAATTGGACAAGTATATATATATATATATATATATATATATATATATATATATATATATAACCTGAATAATATAAGAGAGTTGTTGGGACCGGAGAAGAAGTCTCTTATATCCGGGTTTGGTCTATTTTGTTTACATTAACACAGGCTCTAATTTGGGACCAGAGAAAATCTCTCTTATATCCGGGTTACACACTATATATATATATATATATATATATATATATATATATATATATATATATTCAATCATTAGAGAAAGAGATGGGATCAATGTTACATTCTTATGAAATATATCCGTATCTTGAAAATTATTAACTCACATGAGTCAACACATTCAAAATAGTCCGCAATGTCGTAAATCGTCCCGTTCCAATGCCTTGTTCTTCCGAGCATTGCAAGAAGAATGCTGTTGTTCGTCTGACTTCCATTAAGCTGCCAGTCATTGGAAAAATATTGTTATAGTCATATTTTGGAAACTATAGCCTGTGACCTGGTCTCTAGGGAGAGTGATTTCATGCCTTTCTGATGATCGTTACCGGGAAATGAAGAAAACCGAAATATGGATTCGGCTCGTCGGTTCCAGTATTTTTGATGTTGCCATTTCGGCCAACACAGGACATCTGTTTGAAATTTGAAATGAAGAGTGACTTCATAATATTGCACACATAGAGAGGCGAGTTGTAGACGGAGAAGAAGGAAGCGAGTGAAGAACACAGGAAAAATAGAGAAAAAAAATATTTGATTTCGAAAAAAGTAGAAAATACAATGAAGTCATATTGGCAGGAAGTTAACGAAGAAAAATGGAAAAAAAAGAAAGAAAAAAGAAAGAGAAGAGTAGAGAGAAAAGAAATGGCGAAGCGGACTAGTGATGAAAGAAAATGGAAGATAAATGAAAGCAAAAATAGAGAAAACATTGAGAGAGAAAAAGATAGGTGAAGGGAATCATTGAGGAAAAGAAGAAAGGGAGGAGAAGTAAAAGAGGAAGATGTAAAAGAGAAAGAAATTATGAGAGAAAGAAAGAGGAGAATAAGGAAGAAAATAAAAGTGAACGAGTAAAAAGAGAGGAAGGAAATTGTCGAGTAAAATTGAGGAAGAAAGAAAACGAAGGAAAATAAAGCGGAAGAGAGAAAAGAAGAAAACACTTTAGAAACGTTAAAGAAAAGAAGAAAAGTTAAAGTGAAAGAGAAAAAGTGGGAGGGAATGAGAGAATAGGTGAAGATCATTGAGAGATGTTAGGTTGGTGCAAAAATAATGACGTAATAATGTCGTTTTTGATGTATTTTTAACGTCAAAAAACGACATTATTACGTCATTATTTTTGCACCAACCTAATAGAAATGGTAGAAACATACGAGTGAAAAAGAGAAAGAAAATATGTTTTGAAATGAAAGAAGAAAAGGAAGAAAAATGGTAATATTAAAACGATAAAAATAAATGATCTGAAAGAAAAAGTAGAAGAAACACAGGAAGGATTATTCAGAAGAAAAAAGAAAAGAGTAAACCGAAAAAAATTGAAATGAAGAACGAAAGAGCTGAAAAAGGAAAGATTTAAAAAAAAAAAAAAAAAAAAAAAACAGGTAGAAATGAATAAAAAGAGAAAAAATATCTTCTAATTATGTTTCTCCACCATTTATTAATTCCTTAGTTTGCACGATCGTTATGCCTAGCCAATACCTCATAATGCACTATTCCGTTTTGACCGCATGAACTGAAATATCTGGGACGCTACTTGGTTTCAGTGAGAAAATGTAAGAAAAATAGAAATGTTTAACATTTGAGGCCATACCTCTTAATGATAGACCATTCCGTTTTGATGGTATTGAAGATCGGAAAACGTATACCAAAGATGCTTCACGTTTTCAGTGAGAAAATGAAAAAAAGAAAGGGAGAAAGAAATTGCTTATCGTCTGTTTCAGTGAAATAGAAAGAGTTGTAAATTTTGAAAATATATTCATTTGTACCTTCATACTTCTTTAAATAACGGCCAATATTCGTGTTTATGATTGCTATTGCAATATTTTGTTAAAGTTGTTGAAAGATTTGACGATGTGATAGGGGAATTCCTGTGGATATTTTATTGTCTTAGAACTTCCCATGAGCTTATTCAATCATTAACTTATTAATTCATTAAAAAATTAAAATTAATCAGAAAATTCAAATAGAAATACCATGGAATTTTCACAGGTCTTTCTCAGTTATGTACCATACGTGATACACGTTTAGGCTATCATGTATGTTTCGATACGACTGACTGACGAGGCAGATTTTTTCTTGCAGTATGTTGGCATCGAAGGCTATAAAACCCGGTCTGTTCTTCTATTTCTGTTATTTACCCATAGCTGGAGGGGTGAGGAGAAGATGATTGATATCTTTCCCAAAGTTTTATCTCATAAGTGAATGTAATGGATTCAACTGGAATTTGAACTCGTCTCTCCGATTCCTCAATCCAAGCAGCTATCCATTACACCTCTGTGTCTCCTCTAGTAAATAATAGAAAACAAACCCAAAGAGTAAAATGCATGGAAAATAAGACAGAATTAATGGAAAAAACACATTTTAAAACGAAAATCGTAGTAGTAGTATTATTAGTAATGATGATAGGGATAACATTAAATTTGTTCTGATGCTGCATCGTTCATGGGTTTCATCGTTTTTGGTCATAATGAATAGGTGGTGTTACCATTAACATGGTTTGTCTTGGTTAATTCAGCTAGAAGATTAATAATCCCTTCAAATGCTACAGATTTGCTGGATGGTTTCCTAACTATAACCAGCAGGGAATGTACCCTAGGGAGAGTAAAGCGCTTTCATGATAAGGGGTCGCAACCATGTAGCAATTTGTTTTTGAAGTTAAAAGGATTGGGCTGCCAAAGTGATCAGGAAGTCATATATAAATAGTTTATAACACCCTCAAGCTGAAGGGACTGGTTAGCTGATCTGATGATTTATTTTTTTCTAAATAGGACACTCCTGCAAATTTATGTGCTTCTTTGATGAAAACCGGTCACCATATCACGCACATATTTATTGGATTAATAAGGCTGGCTTAGATTTTTCAGACAAGTTATCAAAATTACGCGGACGACACAGTACTGATAGCAGACACGGAAAAGAATTTACAAAATCCCCTATAGAATGTATCGACGGAGAGTGAGAAGAAAGGACTAAGCATAAACTACAAGACAGAATGCATATTCATCAGAGGATGCAAACAAGGAGGAGGCTTATGCCAAACATCAGGAAGAGGCAGCTGAAGTTTCTGGGACATAATAAGGAAGGAGGGTGTTATACTGAAACACACCTATTCTACTGTTAATAGACTCTCCCACCTATTATAAATAGTAGTAGTAGCAGTCGTCAGTGAGCTCAGTGAGTTGGTCAGTCAGTCGATGTCGGACATCAACCACCACAACTATTATTTCAAGTTCTTAACGTTTTGTACGTCGAACCTTTTTAGGGCCGATTTAGTGAAATACAAGCCTCCACTGTGAAACTACTCTATAACAATTTGGCGACGAGGGATTCGGATTCATACGGAGGAAGAAAACCTTTTTCGTACTCTATAACAGAGGACTTGGAGAATCTGATACTCACGAGTCATATAGAGAGACAAAGAAAAGCAACGCATGACATACCTGAGTAGGTGGATGACAGAACGTGCTCTGGAGGAAGAAAAAGTGGGAAGGAGCTTGCTGAGAGTTGCAAAGGATAGAGGAAGGTGGAGAGACATGAAGTACAAGAGACATAAAAAGAAAGAATCAAAATTCGTATTTCGTGTCTCTTACATTTGTAAGCTAATGTAAATTTGTTGCCTTGTTGCTCTCTACTCGTTAACAATAAAATGATTAATGCTACCGGGAGTGCTCTTATGGTTTCTGATCTTAATTGATTGGGGGTGTTAACGTGTACATGGTTTAACTTAGTGAATTATGATGGCCGACTCTTACTAATCAGATTTGCTTGACGGTGGTCTGAGGTTAACTAGTGCAGCTTCCACACGCAGTAATAATGGCAAACAGGTCGCGCATAATTAAATAGAAGATAAAAGGGTAAAACATAGGAAAGATAAGAAAAATAATATATATATATATATATTATATATATATATATATATATATATATATATATATATATTAAATTAAATGAAACACAGACCACTTTAAGGCTCCATTGTAATAATTTATTTCACCAGAGAATGTTATTCTTCTCTGGATCTTCAGACTTCACTTTAAAAGGTGAAACGAAAATGAATTTTGACGTGTGACGTCTAAATGGTCACTATTTCTATTCTATCCTCTATTACTATTCGGATCGCTATATTATAGCCTATCCTCTATAATATATACACTATTCTCTACGCTATTTCACAATATAGATCATTATTCGAGTGTGTATTATCGACAAGTACTATTAGTGCGAATGGTATTCGAAGGCGTATTACTCCTGTGTTGTTCAACAGCGTTACTATAGTTGTCTCGTCGATTACAAAATCTCTGCTACAACGAACCTTACAAAAGTGACAACGAGTATATGGTGGCATCAGAAATGTGGTAACGAATGTTCGTTGACATTACAGAAATGACCGGGAGTTTATTGTGCAAGCATACCCCGGTGCACAACACAATTTCGCAGACTAAAAACCCTCACACATTCTATTTCGAAACGCGTTGGCCTCGGTGTGACATAACTAAGGCACGATATAGATACAGACGAGAACAAAACGTAAAATAATGCCTTCTTTTCTTTTAATGTGCCATATGCTTTCAGGACGTAGGCGATCATAGCTCTCCGCCCGCCTCTTTCCCTTGCAGCTCTCAAAAAGTCCCTTCCCTCTGCTATCTCCCCCAGAACACGTTCTGCCATCCACCTGCCCAAGCCAGCCAGGAATGACACGCGCTTCTTTTCCTTGTCTTTCTTTCCCTCTAATCGACTCGTGAGTATCAGATTCTTAACGCCCTCTTTCCTCTTTATGCGTCCCAGAAACTTCAACTGCCTCTTCATGATGTTTATCATGAGCCTCCTTCTTGTCAGCATCCTCTCCAAAGCTCATCGTTTCTCACACGCTTGGTCCACGAAATCCTCCGCATCCTTCTGTAGAACCACATCTCCGTCGACTCGAGTCTCTTCTTCATCTTTGAGGATATCGTCCAGCATTCGCTGCCGTAAAGAAGTAAAGATGTCACGTAAAAGCTCAGTATTCTTTTATTTGTTACTAAAGAAATCCTTCTATCTTGCAGTACTCTTCTCAGCTTTTGGAATCCGTCCTTGGCCATCCCAATACGTCAACAGATCTCGGTGTCGCAATTACCGTCCTCTGTCAAAACGCTTCCCAGATATTTAAACTTCCGCGACTGCTTGATTCTAGTGTTCTCGAACTGCAAATCGCATTTCGGGCTCTTCATTTTACTGGTTATCATGCATTCCGTCTTCTTGTAGTTTATGCTTAGTCTCTTCTTAAGGTCTGATGGGGACACTTTGAACAAATTCTGATACTTCTTTCACATTAGATTAACCAACTTGCTCTCCTTTTAGGCGAGCAAGAACCCTGATATTCTCTGACCATCTCACTACACACCTCTACATCATGATGCGCGTCTAACAACTTACAGACGGATGGCTCGAAACTTCTCTCCGTTCTAAATTTGAGATATATAATACTGTGAACTTAACTTCCGAAATTCCGGACAAGTGATACTTGATCCCGAAAGTTTTAATTTAATTTTTTTTCTATTTCCTTTCAGTCAGCGAGTGGCCCCCATGGAAGATTTTGCTTCGTAGTTTTTATTGACTATGGGGTTATAAAAGAAAAGACGCTACGGCGCTCTGGAATTAGATAAAAACATTAATTGTCTATTTTATATCAGGAGTGATCTAAGTCAGCCGTGTGGATAAACGCTTGTTTCCGAATTGAATGTGAAGTTGAGAGTCGTGCCAGAAATATAGACTGTAAGAGCTGGAAATCAAAGAGGAATTGGAAATAACCAAAATAGATCATAACTGAAAAGAACAAGAATTCTGCGAAAAGTGTTGGATAATTGTTGAGATTTGTTTTCCCATTAATTTCCATTGGAAGCCAAAAGTCACTCCTGATGGGAATGTTCAGCGAGAACTGAGTATTATAAAAAGATGAATGAGAAATTCAATTTAAAACGGAAACTAATGAAACGTGTATATATATATATATATATATATATATATATATATATATATAGAGAGAGAGAGA